ATACTCTTCAAACTATTCCAGAAAATAGAAACAGAACATTACCAAACTCATTCTATGAGGCCACAGTAACCTTGATATACCTAAACCACACAGAGACCCCCCAAAAAAAACTTCAGACCTATCTCTCTTATGAACATTGACACAAAATACTCAATAAAATACTCGCAAACCGAATCCAAGAACACATGAAAGATATCATCCACCATTACCAAGCAGGCTTTATCCCAGGCATGAAGGAGTGGTTCAATATACAGAAATCCATCAATGTAAGCAACCACATAAACAAACAAAAGAAAAAAAAAAAAACATGATCATCTCCGTAGATGTCAAAAAAGCATTTGACAAAATCCAACATCCATTCATGTCTAAAGTTTTGGAGAGATCAGGGATACAAAATATATGGCTAAACGTAGTATAGGCAATATACAGCAAGCCTTTACCCAACATCAAAATAAACAAAGAGAAACTTAAAATCAATCCCACTGAAATCAGGGACAAGGCAAGGCTGCCCACTCTCTCCATATCTATTGAACACAGTTCTTGAAGTCCTAGATGGAACAATAAGACAACTAAAGAAGATCAAGGGAATAAACATTGGAAAGGAAGAAGTCAAAGTTTCACTGTTCACAGATGATATGATAGTATACATTAATAACCGCAAAACTTCTACCAAAGAACGCCTTCAGCTGAAAAACACCTTCAGCAAAGTGGCAGGACACAAAATTAACACAAAAAAATCAGTAGCCCTGCTATATACGAAAGACAAAAGGGCTCTCAACACCTTTTACAAGAACCACAATAACATAAAGTCCCTTGGGGTGAGTCTAACCAGGCAAGTGAAAGACCTGTATGAAAAAACCTTCAAGTCTCTGACGAAAGAAATTGAAGAAGGTATCAAAGATGGAAAGATCTTCCATGCTCATGGATTAGAAGAATTAACATAGTTAAAAATGGCCATCCTACCAAAAGCAATCTGCAGATTCAATTTAATTCCCATCAAAATACCAACACAATTCCTTACTGACCTTGAAAGAAGTTTCATATGGAAAAACAAAAACAAAACCCAGAATTGGTAAAACAAAATCCTGTACAATAACAGATCTTTAGGAGTTATCTTTATTCCTGATCTCAAGCTGTACGATAGCGCAACAGTAATGAAAACTACATGGTACTGGCAGAGAAGCACTCTGGAGGATCAATGGAATCGAACAGAAGACAGAAGACAGCATATTGTGGATATGTGGCTAGGACTGGTATAGCTGGATCTGGAGGTAGTACTATTCCTAATTTTCTGAGAAAGCACCAGATTGATTTCCAAAGTGGTTGCACAAGTTTACATTCCCACCATCAGTACAGTAGGGTTTCCCTTTCTCCACATCCTCTCCAGCATGTACTGTTTCTTGAGTTTTTGATCTTGAGTTTTTGATCCACACACCTATGGACACCTGATTTTTGACAAAGAAGCCAAAACCATACAATGGGAAAAAGGCAGCATCTTCAATGGTGCTGGTCTAACTGGATGTCTGCATGTAGAGGAATGCAAATAAGTCCATACTTATCACCTGCACAAAACTAAAGTCCAAGTGGACCAAAGACCTCAACATATAACCAGACACACTAAACCTGTTAGAAGAAAAAGTGGGGAAAAGCCTGGAACTCATTGGCACAGGAGACAACTTCCTAAACAGAACACCAACAGCACAGGCTTGAAGAGCAACAACCAATAAATGGGACCTCATGAAACTGAAAAGCTTCTGTAAAGCAAAGGACACTGTCATCAGAAAAAAACATGACAGACAGCCTACAGATTGGGGAAAGATCTTCACCAACCCTATATGTGACAAAGGACTAATGTCCAGAAAAATAAAGAACTCAAGAAGTTAAACACCAACAAACCAAGTAACCCAATTAAAATATAGGGTACAGAGCTAAACAGAGAATTCTCAATAGAGGAATATCGAATGGCAGAGAAACAAAGAAATGTTCAATGTCCTTAGTGATCAGGAAGATGCAAATCAAAATGACCTGAGATTTCACCTTACATCCATCAGAAAGGCTAAGATAAAAAAAACTCAAGAGACAATACATGCTGGAGAGGATGTGGAGAAAGGGGAACCCTACTGCACTGATGGTGGGAATGTAAACTTGTACAACCACTTTGGAAATCACTTTGGTGCTTTCTCAGAAAATTAGGAATAGTACTACCTCCAGATCCAGCTATACCAGTCCTAGGCACATATCCAAAATATGCTCAACTATACAACAAGGACATTTGCTCAACCATGTTCGTAGCACCTCTATTCATAATAGCCAGAAGCTGGAAACACCCTAGATGCCCCTCAATGGAGGAATGGATACAGAAATTATGGTACGTTTACACAATGGAATACTACTCAGCAATTAAAAACAAAGAAATCATGAAATTTGCAGGCAAATGTTGGAAACCAGAAAAGATCATCTTGAGTGAGGTAATCCAGAAACAACAAAGACACAAATGGCATATACTCACTCATAAGTAGTTATTAGGCATATAATATAGGATAAACATACTAAAATCTATACTTCTAAAGAATCTAAACAGGAAAGACCCTAGGGAAGATGCTCAATCATCATTCAGAGGGACAAATGTGATGGACATCGGAAGCAGAAGAAGACAGGGAACAGGACAGGATCCTACCACAAAGGGCCTCTGAAAGACTCTACTGATCAAGATATCAAAGCAGAGGCTGAGACTGATAGTCAAACTTTGGGCAGAGTTCAGGGAATCTTATGGAAGAAGGGGGAGATAGAAAGACCTAGAAGGCACAGGAGCTTCACAAGTTGACCAACAGAGCCAGAAAAAAAATAATAATGAGCCCTGGGGGACCTGCAGAGACTGATACCCCAACCAAGGACCATGCATGGAAAGGACCTAAAACTCCAGCTCAGATGTAGGCCATACTCAGTCTCATGTGCATTTCCTAGTAAGGGGAGCAGATGCTGTCTCTGGCTTGAATTGTGACAGGCTCTTTGATCACCACCCCCAGACAATGCAACCAGTCAAGAAGGGGAGGAGGACATCTCCTATCAGTGGACTAGGGAAGAGGTATAAGGGGAAGGAGGGAGGGAGTTTGGGATTGGGAGGAGCAGAGGAGGAAGGGTGGGATTGTGAGGAGACATGGGAGGGGGCTGGAATACAAATTTAATAAATTGTAATAAATGATAATTAAAAAATGAAGCTGGGAAGTGTTGTCTCATGCCTTTAATCCCAGCACTCAGGAGGCACAGGGAGACAGATTTCTGAATTCAAGGCCAGCCTGGTCTACAGAGTAAGTTACAAGACAGCCAGGGCTACACAGAGAAACCTTGTATCAAAAAACATAATAATAATAATAATAATAATAATAATAATAATAATAATAATAATAATAGTAATAATAAATCAAAATGAGAATAACAGAATCCGGGTTAAAAAAAATGTTTTATTAACATATTTCACCTTAGTTATTTTCTTCTCTTTATGACCATAAAATATTGCTGTCATTTCAAAATAGATTATAATTAAAATATCGTTTTTGTAAGCTTTATGATAACCAAAGAGCAAGAATCTACAACTGACAAACAGAAAATAATAGTCAAGGACTCAAGCATATTTCTAGTCTAATTACTTAGCCACAAAGGAAAAGTACAAAAAAGAAAGAAGCATATGCTGTCTACACACCTACACACATCACACTGAACTCTACTAATATGTAATTAATAAATAATGATCAAATAGTGCACTGTATATCATGATGGCTACAATTAATTTTAAAAATTGTACATTTGAAAACTGCTAAGAGTAGCCTTCAAATCTTCTCAACAGAAAAATAAGATATGTGATATAGCTCATATAAATGTATATATACTATATCAAATATAATGTATACTAAAAATACAGCAGATCATTTTGACTTTTCAATTTGAACAAATAAGTATGTAACAACAACAACAACAAAAAAAGGAATGCAGACAGAAAAAAAAACTACAAGTGATGGAAATGAAATTAAAAAGCAGTTATAAGGCCTTTCCTCTTCAACAATTACTTGAATTTTAAATGAAATAACATTTAATCATAAATTTTTTATAGTAGATGATTTTTTATTTTATTTTATTTTTTTAATTTTTTATTATTATTAATTACACTTTATTCATTTTGTATCCCCCCATAAGCCCCTCCCTCCTCCCCTCCCGAACCCACCCTTCCTCCCCTTTCTGCATGCATGCCCCTCCCCAAGTCCACTGATAGGGGAGGTCTTCCTCTCCTTCTTTCTGATCTTAGACTATCAGCTCTCATCAGAAGTGGCTGCATTGTCATCTTCTGCGGCCTAATCATAAAATTTTAACCAAGCTCTTTCCGCCATCTTTCTGCACCATCCTGGCAGATGATCTCAAGAGTATCAATCAACAATGCTGAGAAGAGAGGCAAACGCCAGGTCCTCCTCAGACCATGCTCCAAAGTCATCATTCGGTTCCTAACTATGACGATGAAGCACAGTTATACTGGGGAGTTTGAGATCACTGATGACCACAGAGCTGGAAAAATTGCTGTGAACCTCACAGGCAGGTTGAACAAGTGTGGCTTGATCAGCCCTAGATTTGATGTGCAACTCAAAGACCTACAAAAATGGCAGAACAAGCTGCTCTCATCCTGTCAGTTTGGTTTCTACTGACAACCTCAGCTGGCATCATGGACCATGAAGAAGCAAGATGAAAACACACAGGAGAGGAAATCCTGGGATTTTTTTTTCTAGAGATGTAAAACATAAATAAAAAGCGTCCGCAGACTAAAAAAAAAAAATAATAATAACCAAAAATGGATCATGTCTACAACCGTAAATTCTGAGAGTATAAAATCTCTAGAAGAAAGTTTAGATGAAAGTATTTAGAGATAGCTCTGTGGACTTTGCATGCATGAGACATTTTTGTTCAATTCCCAGTACCACAAAAGATAATACTCCAGAATAGGTTTTGCCTCTGGTTCAGGCTAAAGACAAAGCTTCTAAAAGGAATAGAGGAAAACTTTTTGACTCTAGAATAGGCAACGATTTCTTAGAATCAATGATTTTCTTAGGAAGTACTAATCAACAGAAAATCAGAGAGCATCAAAATTAAAAATTTTGTTCATCAGAAGGTAGATAAGATGGGTATAGTGGCAAATGCCAGCACGTGGGAGGCTAAGGTGAGAGAATAAGGAATTTAAAGCAAGGCTTGACTACATAATAAGCTCCAGGCCAGCTTGAGCTACATAGTGAAACCCTGTTCATGACACTGTATATAATAAAATTATATTTCAAGAAATTTCAAAAGAAAACATTCTTAATGCATATAGCTTAAAAAGGAATATACAGTACTTTTAAGATTTAGTGTAAAAGTAGGTAATTGCCAGACTATTTCATTAAGTGGAAAGAAACTTAGCCGTAACCTTTTTAAAGGGCCACTGAGAAGTTAAATTGTAGTTACTAACAACATAAGTGCCACATTACTCGCTATTCCCCTGCCTCTTCAAGTGAACACCACTAACATACTCCCAAGGTAGACACCAGAGCTGGCTGGAACAATGCATGCATCTACAGAATACCCAACATCTTCAACTGCAGCACACATGGGGATTCTTATTAGACACCATGCAATATTCGTGAACAACTTGAGGATGCTGGGTGAGGTTTTGCTCCTGTTGTTTTGAACTGTTAAGACAGGTCAGTGAACTCCGCCCCACCTGAGCAGAAACCACACTCCACCTTCAGTACTTCAATTTAAATCTGATTAGGAGGCTTGAGCAGCACCAAAAGTGGCGCCTCTCACCATGGCTGCCCTTTAGATCAAAGGCTCTCTGGTTCCATGTAGGAGCTAGCAAATTCACAGGGCATCTCACAATCCCAATGCCTCATTTAGCCACACAATATGCTGTCAAAGTACTTACTCCAAGTCAAAGCAAGGCCTAAATAGGGAACAGAAGAAGCGCTATCTGAATAAAAAAAAGTATTCAAAGAAACAAGACTACTCCCCATCTGTTCCCTATTTGGTGGATCTCAGTTTGGTTGAACTGGTTCAGTGCAGATACTCTGCATTGGCTTATGACTACATGATGGCAGTGCCTAGGTTTCTCTCTGTAAATGAATCCCTTTGCCAAATACAGTTCAGACTGCTCACTACTGACAAGCGTGAAACAGGTAATGGGGGACACTCTCCCACCCTGAGAACAGCCTGGAGTTTAGTGGATGAGTGCAGCAGTGAGGGAAGCAGGAGGTGTCGGCTAGGATCTCCTGAAAAGACTGCACACCACTTCTGGGCGGCAATGTTGGCATGATCTGTGCCAGCCAGGAGGAGGTTGGGCAACTAGAAGTTTGAAATTCTTCAGTAAACTGAAAGCTTACTTAGGCACCAGAAACCTTAACAAGTAATCACATTAAGCCATGTACTTCCCTTACAGTATGTTTTACCCCATCCACACACCTGCACATACACACACACACAAATTCTGTTTGGGATAATGATTTAAGAAGTGAACTGAGACATGTGAAGAGGTTTGTTTAATCACATACTATATTGGGATGCTGAAGACCTGCAGCAGAGGTAAATTCCAAGTCTTGTTATAATTTTTTTTGTTTTGTTTTACTACAAAAGTTTATTACAATATACAATGGGCTCCAGGATAACACTTCTAGCTGTAGGTGGCAAAGATGTTATGGCAGGGGATCCAGATGTTTAAAGAGGAATGGAAGAGGATCACCATTACCTCAGATACGAGGAATAGCTTACTTTTTACCAGATTTCTTTTTTTCTTTTTATTATTATTATTATTATTATTATTATTATTAATTACACTTTATTTATTTTGTACCCCCCCATAAGCCCCTCCCTCCTCCCCTCCCAATCCCACCCTACGTCCCCTTTCTTCATGTATGCTCCTCCCCATGTCCACTGATAGGGGAAGTCCTCCTCTCCTTCCTTCTGATCTTAGTCTATCAGATCTCATCAGGAATGGTTGCATTGTCTTCTTCTGTGGCCTGCTAAGGCTGCTCCCCCCTCAGGGGGAGATAATCAAAGAGCAGGCCAATCAGTTTATGTCAGAGGCAGTCCCTCTTCCCATCACTATGTAAGCCACTTGGACACTAAACTGCCATGGGCTACATCTGTGCAGGCGTTCTAGGTTATCTCCATGAATAGTCCTTGGTTGGAGTATGAGTCTTTGGGAAGTTCTCTGTGTTCAAATTTAAAGAAATGCTCAACCTCATTAGCCATTAGGGAAATGCAAATCAAAACAACCCTGAGATTTCACCTTACACCCATCAGAATGGCCAAGATGAAAAACTCAAGGGACAATACATGCTGGAGAGGTTGTGGAGAAAGGGGAACCCTCCTCCACTGCTGGTGGGAATGTAAACTTGTACAACCACTCTGGAAATCAATCTGGCACTTTCTCAGACAACTAGGAATAGCACTTCCTCAAGATCCAGCCATACCACTCCTAGGCATATACCCAAAAGAGACTCAAGTACACAAAAAGGACATTTGCTCAACCATGTTTGTAGCTGCTTTATTTGTAATAGCCAGAAGCTGGAAACAGCCCAGATGCCCCTCAACTGAAGAATGGATGCAGAAATTGTGGTATATCTATACAATGGAGTATTACTCAGAAATGAAAAAATAAGGAAATCATGAAATTTGCAGGTAAATGGTGGGACCTGGAAAGGATCATCCTGAGTGAGTTGTCCCAGAAGCAAAAAGACACTCATGTTATATACTCACTCATATAAACATACAACATAGGATAAACCCACTAAAATCGGTACATCTAAACAAACTAAGCAAAAGAGAGGACCCTAACTAAAACGCTCAATCCCCATCCTGAAAGGCAAAGAGGATGGACATCAGAAGAAGAAAACAGGAAACAACCTAGGAACCTGCTACAGAGGGCCTCTGAAAGCCAGAAGAAGAAAACAGGAAACAACCTAGGAACCTGCTACAGAGGGC